GCACATTGACCACAAATTCAGATTCGCCAACTTGGATGGCTCTGTGCTAGAGACTCCATCACCAGATAAGTTCGACGCATCATTTCTTGCCAGCTTTTACTCGACGTGAGATTTTTTTGGTTTTTGAGGGACATGTCTTGATGGGATCATGGTTGAGGCACTTATGTGGTGGCTTTCAGTTAGTGTGTCCTCTGTTTTGTTACATCAAGATGTTTTTTGTGTTTGGAGTAAGTTTCTCTATTGGCTAGGGAGATTTGTAGTAATACTTGGCTATATTCTAGAGGGGGATCTGCATTTTGTCTATATGATGTGATAATAAATGAGGAAAACCTTGTGGCAAGCAGAAGACCCCTGTGACAACTGAAGGACTGAAACAAACATGCAATAGTGTGCTTCCAGGACATATCAAGAAGTACGCACGAACAGAAAGTGACTACGAAGAATCTATCTAGAGCCAGGACCCCAAAGAAAGTAAAATAGAACCTCCGAAGGACTTAAGCCAACAAGGACGACGAGCTGGAAGAAGAAATAAGAGGTGACTTGAGACAAGGAAGATAACGGGCCTCACAGCCAAGGAGAGTCTCGTCCCAAGGATTCCGCCCCAAGAAGAAACCCAAAACACCTTTTGGGTTTGGATACCCATCGGGTACACATGTGTGAACGAACACATATGCAGGCAAGAGAACCCACACATGCGGGAAGACCACCCGCACAAGCGAGCACAGTTGCGCATAGGAGGGGATGCATGTGCGACCAGGCCAGCCGCACACCCCAGGTGCGCGCACACCCAGCCAACCCTGCATTGGGCCGCACATGTGTGGACAACCCCTGCCACACACACGCCAGGACCGTGCGCGTGCAGGAACCTTCCGCATGCGCCCAATGCATGCCACCTGCAGGCGCGCACACCAGAAACATGCGGACAGCTTGTCCGCAGGCTTTGAGTCTGATTTGGACTCTTCCTTCCTTTCCTTTTTGCATCCAACTCCAACACAGCAAATCCTTGGAATTCTACACCAAATTGGATACAAAAATCAGTTTAAAAACACCAAGGAAGATCAGCCAAAGAGAGAGGAAGAATTCTGCCTAGATTAAATTAGCATTATTTATTGTTTTATTTGAATTCTATTTTAGAATTCTATTATTTAATTAATTTCCAAGCAAGAGCCCTAATTAAATTAGTTTTTAAGAATTCAAGTAGGAATATGTAACCTTACTACGATTCAAATTAGAAAATAAAAGTATAAGACCCTTAATCTTTAGATTGTAATCACAATTCAACAATTCATCAAATCAATAAAATTAAAGTTTTTGCTTTCTTCGAAATTCACTTGGCTAATTTTTTAGTGTTCTCAACTTTTTCAAAGGTAGGGAGCTTTCAGAAGTCTTGTTGAGGCAGAAAATCATAATTGACTTATCAAGTAAGCCGTAGTGTACTTCTTTTTCTTTTTTTATTTTTTCAATTATCTTGATCATTGCATTTCATATTAGTGAGTGAAATTTTCAAATAAGAAGGGTGAATTAGGTGGTTGAAATCTTCTAATCATATGTGGTGTGAGGTTCCGGGAGTATTATGATCCTTTCAAGTCCCTCCCGCATCACTATCTCAACTTGGTGATGTTGTAAAACATGGTTTCACATAACGGTACGGAGATTAAACTAGCTTCATCTAGGCCAAGCACCAGGGTTCCTCAAACTTACCATTCAAAATTTTGGATGGAAATAATTATATGCAATGGACTAAATAAGTAAAGATGTATCTTCGCAGACAGAGTAAGCGACATCTTAGTGATTTTGCAGTAAAAGACAGTCAAAATAGAAATGTTGCAATAAGAGAATGCAAAATTGAGTCTTGTGGAAATTAATGGGCCCTCATGTTGCTTTTTTTTGTACTAAAACTGATTCGAGGAAGGAAATATGGGATTATGTCAAGCGCTTACATGATAGCAACATCACCTACGTGCAGTACAAAAAATTATGTGATTTGGCCTATGACTGCTTATGCAAGACAATGCAAAAATAATAAAAGTATTGACCATGCATTTCTTGGGAGAATTAAAATCCGAACATAAGCTTGTATCCTTCCAACTTTTAAGGAGTGTTCAACTTCCTCTAGTTGAGGTTTACGAGCATTTTGTTGTCTCCTTCTAAGGATACCTACACCCGAGATCCTAATAGTTACAATTCTACTATGATCATTTATGTGGGCTATAGGCCTAACGGAAGGACAAGGTGGCTACCTAAAGGTAGTTGAGATGGCCATTTCGAAGATGATTGTAGAAGTGGTATAACATAAAAGTGTTTCCAATGTCGCAAACATAGTCATACGACTATTGGTGGGAATCTTTTGGTATGCAACCTCAAACAACTAACTTTGTTTATGTAATCGCACCACAAGGCTCTAAAATGAGTAACTTGAAACTGTGATGATCTTTTAACCATGTGTATTCCACATTCCTTGTATCTGGTGTCAGAATAAACTTTCCACTTCTATTATCTCTTTTTATTCCTATGTCGTGGCTGATTAGGAATAACAGCAGGCCAAATTTGGTGCGGATTTTATAGAAATATGAATCTGACATACTTTTATAACTAGAAAACCTAAACTCGCCCAAAATCCAAGTCAAGTTCACCAAATTTGTGTGATTTCATCCTGACCAAGTTTTAGGTGAAACTCAATTAGACTTGACCAGAAGACACAATATGCTAGAACAGCCAAAGAGGAAGACTGAAGTCCTGGACAGTGGAAGACTAAAGAGGAAGACCTGGGCGTGGAGATGAATGGCAATCTAACTCGGAGGAAGAAAACTGATATAGGAAAAATTAGGGTTAATTTGCCTATTAAGGAATTGCGGAAACAACCTAGATATCACAACTAAAGTTTTTAGTTATCACACTTAAGGGTTGATTGAATCACATAATTAATTACGAGAAATTCTCAAAAAATTATTATTGAATACTTGGATCATTAATAAGTACAATTACAAAGTTATTTATAATAATTCTTAACTTTTCTTAATAATCTAATAGAATTAAAAACACTAATCCTAATACAAATAAAAGATAATACTAATAAAAATAAATTCTTAATTCTAATAAGACTCTTAAATAATAAGTTAAAAATACTCCAATAATAAATAAAAATCATGGCATCAATTATCCCCGAGGGAAGTGGGGAGGGGGGCTCGGCTCCATCAAGTTGAAATCATAAAATGTAGCATGCATGATAGGGATTAGCTTCTTAAAGTCAGCTTCTGTAATCCAAGTGCAATCAATTTGAGAACGTATTTTCCATTTTACTAGAAACTTGTGGTAAATACTACTCTTTGTTCCTACCTCTTGATAATCAACAAT